AGGTTTGGCAGATGCTCCAACCACACATTCCCCCCCAGCCACCCCCAACTTCCAACAAGTTTCTTATTTGCTGGTCACCAAACTGAAGGAAATTCCAAAGTTTTATTTTAACAGAACTGCACTGTAAGATAATCACTGTGAAAAATCAGGCTGCTTTGGCATACAAAACAGCAACTTTACCAGGAAAGGAAAATGCAGCTGGAAAACCTTTTTCCATTAGCATGGGAAATATTTTCTATTTCTGTGGTTTAAGATTGGTAACTTTTCTTACTGGAAAAGAGCTCAGCTATGACAAGTCTTTTCCTTTCATTGAGTGTGTTGATAGGTTCAGTTTGGGAGTGTCTGCACACTTGTAAGGACTTGCAGATTCCTCATTCTGTGCAAACTATCCTTAAATGATTCTTATTCAGCCTATGTCTGCTTTAATGTCACCTTAAGCCCACAAGTCTGAAGTTCTTACCACTCAGAAATTTGTCATTCAAAAGGTCTAGCTTTTAACTAGTATACAAAGAAGATCATTATAGACAGAATACACGTGAAGACAAGATCCTTTGAGGACACAGAAGAGGAAACATGTTTATTAGCCCACTTGAAACCCCTGACTATTTTATCGCTGCCCTGGGTTTGTTTTTTTAATTTTTAAATTTTTTTTGTTTTTTAATAATACGGCACCACACACATTGTCTTGCACACAGCAGGAGTGACGAAGCTACAAATGAAAAAACAAGTTTGCAGTATAGACACATGGGAAGTTTAACTGGCAGCAGAATGTATAAGGAAGTTTTCACTACTATGGAACAAAGGTCTTAATTCAAATAATTTAGATCCAGCATCTGGGATCCCAACCTCACTGAACAAAACCATCAGCACTTTTCAAGAGAAAAAGACAGTTAGAAATCAAGATTGGAAACTTGTTCGGGTTGCCTCTTCTCATTGCCCTTTGTTTCAGAATCTCATTTCAATTTATTTTCACTGTAGTCTCTCTCCAGTAACATCATGCTGAACTGCCCTCACGTTGAAAAGAAAGAATTCTCAATTCTCACTGAAATTAATTATTAAACAAATTAAACCTCTAAATAAGAGTTGGCAAGGGGCCAGTGTGTTGTCAAACAATTATGACAAGTGTTCAGTCAGCTACCACCAACAGGAATTCTGGATCATGGTCCAGCATCTCATCTAGACACATGCACAAAATCAAGGTTTTCTTCCAAGCAGCCAAAAACCTCCATATTTTTACCAGCAGCAAAGGATTCAATATCCATCAGAAACAGACTCCTCTGCTTGACTTCATGAAGGCTGGCGAGTTCTGACTTAAGAGCAAAGAGCTTTCCCTCCATTGTACCAGCTTGCTGTGGAGTCCACTGCAGCAGGAAAAGTTCAATTATCAGAGGCAGCCATCTCATAACCAGCTAAAACACACTAAGTTAATGAGTACTCCAACTGTCAACTGAATCACCTCCACAGTCCTGCCAGCTCCTCTCCTCCTGTCCTCTTTTCCACCTCAGACATCTACAGGTATTACAATTTCACCTGAAGAACTTTCCTGTAGATAAGTTGTATAACACAATTAGCCTAGGTCTTGAGAGTAAGAATCCAGAACACCAACATACAAAATCTTTAGTTAGAGTTCAGAGATATTGCCGTACACGTCCTAGTACTAAAGCCTACAGATATAAAGTCAATGTTGTGTAGATTTTATACCAACAGTTTTGTATTGTGGGGAAGAAAAGCACAGTAATGGGGGGGGGAAGTTTAACAAAGGTAAGATGAGGGGCTTTCCCCATTACAATCAATAGACTGACCAACCACAAGTAATTAGGGTGATTACGGCTCATGGAAGGTAACACCTTTCGCATGAAGGAATCCTTGACTCCCAACCTTATGCCTATGCCACTCAGTTCCTTTTACAGCCTCCTCCTGGGCCACAATTCCCATGCCACAGCTTCTGCTACTCACAAAATGAGATAAAATGTTCATCATGTCTGGAAAACCTCAAGGTTCTAAGACAAAAGAGGTGAGTGCAGAGGTACCACAGAATTAACAGCATTTCGCCTGGGGCACAAAGAGTTATTGGGCAAAAGACCAAATAAAAGTTACACCTATTTCATTATATACTAACTGTGCCAAACGTGACCCTGCACATAAGGTTAGCTACACAAGACAGTAAGTTTTTGCCTTAAAGAAAAAACACAAACCAACTTGGAGACAACTTTAAGAAGTATTGCAGATCTGCTTGCTCTTTCTTTTCTTCTGATCTTCCTTGTGTATGCTTTTGCTATCACTTACAGGAAGAATTTTTTGAAATTGATAAAAGACTGGATGTTCAGTCTTTGCTTAGTGCTGAACCAATCTAGACTGACATGCCTGCCTCTAACGTGGTTAGAGCATTTTTTTCCATGAAGATGCAATAAAAAAAGATCTGCTTTGTATCTAAATTGCAGAAGACAGAGCAAGATCTGAATGGATAAATGAATAAACTAGGAGGTTTTGCTTATAACCCTGAAAATGAGAATAAGTTTGTTTAGAGTGGGTGATTGAGTCAGGAAATCCAGGCTCTAATCTGGATTCTTGCCAGAGACTTGCGCAGCAACCAGGCAAGTCATTTTATCTTTACTGCTATGAAGTTACAGCCATGTTGCTACTTAGCTCATACAGATGTTTTGTCAGCAAAGCTCCAACAGCACTTACACCTTAAGACTGAAGTAAATACCAAGGAAAATTGCCATGTCTCAGCTGAAGCCTTGCTTGCACTTAAACCAGGGGTTTATCAATGGACAGTTCAGGAAAAGCATAAATGGAAGAGGCAGTTGCAGAGCTTGCACTTAGCCAAACTTACACCATTGCTGTAGTTGCTTCCTACCTTAGTGAAAAAGATCTGTGTCCCCATAGCGCCTACTTATCTTCATTGTACGTGACTGCATGACATCATCCTCCAGTCCTCAGATAAATTCCCAGAACCAGAAATCTTACAATAGTGCTTTCTAATTACAAAGACACCCCCTCCCCCCATACACTTACACTTTAGAGCACTTCGTGCCTTTTCCCTTCTAATATTAAAAAGTAACCAGATGAACTTGGAATAGGAATACAGTGTGAACCTAACCTGAATAGTTTCATACCTACTGTATGGTATTTACTGTGTTCAATCAGTTTTCAACAACATTTGAATTACTAAGCTTGACAGGAGTATCAGTTCCAGATTCAGTCAGCTCCGAAACAATTTATTCCCCAGGCTAAGATAAAGTTACTTGAAGCCCATCTGCAAAACGGTACTTTCCTGTGGAATCCTGACTGATTAATCCTACAGAGAGAGTTCAGAGAAGTGCTATCGGGAGATCACCCTCCACAGCCCGCCTTTTCAATGGATGGGATAGCACGGGCAGCTCTTACATAATGACAAAGACTACAAAAATCTAAGTTGTGAAATTACTATATACAGACCCAAAACTCACTTTAACACAGAGGTGCTCCTCTGAAGTCCTTAATTGTTACATATTTAAACAACTTTTGTACAAAATTTGTTTGTTTTACTCAATACTGCAAGAAAACCACCCACAGTAAAACAAAGCCAGAAGTATAGGAAACTATGAGAAAACTGGAAAATCCACCAGCATCAAGGCCTCAGGACTGTGTTGCAAGTCACTAGCATATGCAACTCATTTTCTAGTTAAGCAATTCTCCCCGGGGACACACAGTCTGCAGTCCACATGCAGGATCAGATTTCATGAGCAGATGTAGGAAAATGCAAGCCCCGTGCATTTGCAAGTCAAAACTAGTGAAGGCAGGAGCTTGTTTGGCTATCTCTGCTTATTTTTCCCCGTGAGGGTTTTTTTTTCCGATAAGAAACATTTGTTAAGATACAAAGATGAGACAACAGCAAGGAAAAGAAGGGAGTATTTCACAGGACTTCTATATCTCTCTATAAGTGCATACGTGTGACTCACATACTGATACGTATATAAAAAAACCTCTTAACTCTGGCAGTACTTCCATCTCAACTGCAACCGCCCGAGACTGTTGAGCTCACTTCAAACAGTTACTTTTTCTTTTATATATATATACACATATATTTTTACACAATTCATGTTTGCATAACTCACCTTAATCTAAAGATATAAACAATCCCAACTTGCTTTAAAAAAACTCTTAATAAATTCCATACTTATTTTTCTCTCTTAAGTTGTACCCCTTTCACAAGCAAATTCATTTTACATCTCCAGTGAGCAATCACAGATAGCTACAAATCCAAGCACTCGGCAGATATTTGTATAGCTCAAATAAGTTATTAACACCAGCTACGTTATGTTTCAACTAAAACAATGAATACAATTATTTGCAGAGTCAATAGTTCGGAGCCACTCCCTCCAGGGACTTTTCCTGATGCCCAAGAGGCAGCAGAGTTTTAGTTTCTCTTAAGATTTGAAGGGCCAGATCCTTACCTTGGTCTGAGTCGCTTCACCCTTTTCAAACATCATCTTGAGTTTGTTCAATGGAACGCTGTATTTCTCGATTTTCCCCGAAGAGTCCGTGTTTTCACTGGCTTCAGGCTTTTCCACTTCTCTGGACTCTCTCAGACAGTTTTCCATTTTACCGCTCTCTGGTGAGTGGCTTTTAAACTTTCTGCTGTCACCACCAGGATGCTGCAGCTGGCCAGGGGTGCTGGAAGGGGCCTGGGCGTCAGATGTAGCACCAGCCCCCGGGGTTTGCTCCGTGTCTGGGGAAGAAGCAGGGCTGCTCCCGACTCCGAGCCCAGGGCTGGCGACCTTGTGCCTAACCTCAGCACAGCTGCTTCGTAGCGTTTCCTTCTGAGACTCCGTTCCCAGCACTGGATTCTCCCACTTCTTCTTTAGTATGCTCAGATTCCCCCTTTTAAAATGAGGGGGAAGATTTTCTGTGTTCTACAAAGAACAAGAAGTTAATTCCAGTTATATGCCTGATGAAGCGTTAAAGCACTTCCTTTCTATGCAAAAGGAAGCTAAAGGCTCAGGACCGATCTCAGCTCTCTGCTTTTTCAGACAGCTGTGAATAGTTACAACTGTGCCACATGGAGAAAGCATCCAGGATAGGAAAGGAAGGAGGGGGGAGAAAAGTCAGGAGCTAAAGCAGGAAGTGAGCAAACAGGATGGCCTTATAAGGAAAAAGGGAGTCAAGCTCTAATGAGTTAAATGACACACAAAAGGCTTGAATCCACACATGAAGGAAAAGGGACCAAAATCCACACAACAAGGGTCTCTAGTCCTAGAACAAGCAAACAATAGCAAAAGCAGCCATATGAGAGAGAGGTGGTGTGCCAAATGTTGCAATGTCTTCCAGCTGGTTCAGAAGACAACAATTAGTAGGCCTTCCAAAAAGCTACAGATTAGCTTTCAGAAACCACTACTTTTTTGGAGTTGTGTATTATCAGTTAACAGTAGCATTTTAGTTATAAGAGATCTGTCTTCAGTATTTTATACCATGCAGTGTAAGGCTCAAGCTAAGCATTGACAACAAATGTCTTTTTGCTCCTATTTATAGATACCAGATCACTTGCTGGAATTTTTCTTCTATTTCACTCAACACATTGAAAGCTTTCGGCCGGAAACATGCGCACAAGTCACAAATGCTGCCTTACTACTGTGAGTTAGATGGTAATACATGGAGCAGTAGTACCCCTCATATTCAAGTGCTTTTCAGACTAGTTTTGCTTACAAGTAGTTACCTCTCCCCAGAGTAACAGACCAGCCCGTGTTGATCCATTCAAATCTAATACCTGCCACCACTGCATTTTTGCTGTCTCTCCCTTACGGAGACCCCTATGGATCAAAATCATTACAAGTGGAACAGGTCTGCAAGGCTTACAGGAATTAAACAGGATTAGCAGCTATATTAGGATTTAAGTCTCTCACCCTATTACTCTTCTGGTCACATTTTGAACACCGCTTTGCAAATTAACTTGAATCCACCTAGACTTCAAAAAAGGTCAGCTTGCTTGCTGACTGTGTTTAAAAGAAAGTACTAAAGTTATAAGGCAAATGTTGTAATGTAACAGAAGTACTGAAAATTGCACAGCAGGTTTCCACAGAACACCTCTGGACACGATGCCTACGCAGTCCCGGCATACTTCATAAACACAAGTCATTCTTGCTTGGGACTTGCCTGTTCCCTGATCACACAAGCAATGAAGAAAATTTAAGGCTGGAGAGTAATTTTTGGAATGCTTCTTTTACCACACCTATATCGTGAACAAAAAGAATGACTCCCCAAGCATTAAAGAGATCAAGGCAGCATGGTCTAACAAAGACTTACTATATATCCTGAAAATATTGCCGGTCTTTTCAAATAAAAATTAAACTGAGGATCTGCTTATACAAAGACCTGCAATCTTAGTGCCTGGTATTTCAGCCAGGGTCCCCAGCCCCAGAACAGTAAGTGCAATGTAGTTTACAGGAGGGAACACGAGGCTGTAACAGAGCCAAAAAGGATGCCTCTCCCTCATCCAGGGGCATTTTGAACCCTGTAAGCCACTTCAGAGAAGATCCCCCTTAATGGATTCTACAGCTATCAAAGATATACACATTAGATTTCAGAGAGGCTGGTAGCTTCTTTTAAGCAGACTTTTAAATTTAGTTAAGAAAGGAAGAGGTACCACACAACTGCCTCCAGCTAAGAACAAAGAGGTGGATATTCATGTGTTGTGGTTTTGCCTTTTGCTTAGGAGGGAACTGGTGATTCAACATATAGCTTTGGGCAAGGCACTTGATTTTCTTTCATTCACACTGGGAAAGGGTAGGGGGAATGAGTCAAAAGCAAACACTACGTCTAAGCCAAGTTTTCTGTAGGACACATGGCAGCAACTTTGATATTCCAAAAATCAACTGTCACAGAAACATTGCATGTAGGTGATCTGTTCTGATTGCAGGCTATTGTTTATTGCCTAGGAAACAAATACTTACACTTCTTTTCTTCTCAGCAGTGGCTTCTTCAGCCGCTTTCTGATACCTTTGAGAAAGAGGAAAAAGAGAAAAAAACCCAACAAACGGTTTTTAACCAGAATACTGAATGCTCTTGAAGACAGCTGAGATTTTTTTTCCCCTCCAAGGATTCTGTGCACTTCCCAGACTTGTCAAATAAAACCAGAGGCTGGAAAAACAGTAGCAAATAGTACCAGAAAAATGCAGAGTGATGGACACAATTTAAGTCATTCGGTTTACAATAAAAGCATACATTAATATTTTTCATTACCTAAGCACTCTGATTCTCAAATATAAACCATTTACCTTGGAATAGCTGTATTGTTTCCACCACCCAGCTGTCTGCTGTGCCCCCTTGGTGGAATAACTCAGCTATTTATACAAAAATGCTGAACCATAACAAATTACAGCTTGGCATACACAGAAAATCTACATAAGTGCCAGTTTATTTTACTATGCTGCGTTGTAAACGGCACCAATTCAGCAGTTGCTTCATGAGCAGCTGAACCATCCCAGCAGTGGAAACAGTAATCACAGCCCTCTGAAGATAAGCCACCCTGGATCATGAATCAAAGTCCTTTAAGAAGCTATAGAAAACTGGCAGCAAACTGCCCAACTGCACACCACTCCACTGAGCATAAGTACATCCACAGCTAGGAGTGCACAGTCCATGCTGATTACTATACCGCACAAGGTGACTGCGCTTTCCTTTTGAAATGCACAAATGAGTCAGATGTGACAAATTTTGCCATTTTTAAGTAGAGCTCTGCTTTTCAAAGAGAAGAAACGTCACCCAACGTCTGCTTGGGCAAATGATGTTTCTGTCTTTCTTATCTGTGGAATTCTACTTTTGATACAACTGTGAATATGTTACAGGCAGTAAATGAGACACTAATATCATAATAGTCATCAGCTTCAGACTTTAAATAATTGCTGGTATCAAACCAATAACTAATGTATATCGCGGGCTCAGTTCCTTCTAAGAAAAAAATTCTTACGTGCAGATACCTGCTCTATTACTCATTTTTTCATTATAACAATTGGGTTTTTTTTCCTGCTGTGAATGGTGTGCTCCTATGTAGATTTCTCCTCTTGTTACACTAGAGAGTAGACAAATTGTACCCTTACTTATTTCTGCTCTACAAGCTGCATTTACTGTACAGACTGAAAGCTGCTAAAGGAGTGTAGCTGGCCCTCTTTAATCAATAGAAACACACTAACCTATGTCTCTATACTATAAAGGTTCCAAAATTTGAACGAGACATGCTGAGAAAGTAAGCTTATGGACAGAGATCAACACTGGAAGAAGCAACGAAGAGAGACATGGGGATGAAAGTCAAGTACCACACTGGAAAACAAACAAGGATTGAAGAGTCCCAGACAGCAGTCGCTCTCTAAGTTGGCCCACCTCAGCACACTGTAGCAATTTGCATGTCTCTGACCTGACAAAACTGATAATCTAAACACTATATGGAATGAAAAAAATGTTTTCACATAGAAATATTTAGGGAACAGCAATTTTAGAAAAATTATGCTACTCACTGTGAGTGTCGGTGTTGGCAAAGCCAGGAAGTAGGACTGTGTTTTTCCAAGGAACTGACACTGCTTATGTAGAGGGACCCTAGTTAATCTTAAGGAATAGCAGTTTGTATTACTTCCAGTAAGCCCTTTTCAAAGGATTATCAACATTTAGCAAGATGCCCAGGTTTTGTAATCAAGCTTCAATAGGTGAACAGATTACCTGAAAGCAAGCAGCTTCTCCCTAGGACAGAGTACTTAAAGAGTAACTTGAAGAGCTATGTTTGTGTGAAGTCCAGATTGCAATTATCCTTCCCCTACAGACTCCATAAAGTTTCTCCCACACTCAAGATTTAAATACTCCAAAACCTTGCTACGGTATTAATGCAATAGCCTAGGAGACTTGTTTGCCCAAATCCCATTGAAAATCCAAGCTGTAGTCTATGTATTTCCTTAAGGAAATAAAAGCTTTTCCAGAAAACATGTACAGGCTACCACCACTCAGCTTTCTCAGTGTATAAATTACTACTTTATGATTTGACTGTAACCCATCATCCATCTCTCAGAGAAAAAGGACGGGTAGTACTCCTTTTCTACACAAGTTTTGTGAGACATCTGGAAGGGGACATCTTTGAAGAACATAGCTACTGTGAAATTCTCTGACAGAACTCTTACTAGGGGGTTACATCTATCACCCACAGTTGACAGAACTACCGTTTCTAACTGGTCTCCAATTAACTGATAAAGCATTACTGCTACTTTTTATAGTACCAGGCAGGAAATGCCATGTTAGCAGAGAAACCTATGTAGTTCATGCTTAAGCAGTTAAGGACCATTTCTGATGAAGTAAAACCCTAATGGCAATAGCCGCCTACATTCCAATACTCTGCCCTCAAAAACAAATTGCAATTTGTAGTTTGACAGGAAACGTTCTACTTTATTTTCTGGCAGCAGAAAAAAGATATTATAATTCTGATTGCTGAAACAATATAATGTCAGCAATTAGAAAAACTGTTGCCTGGCATATATTAAACCAGAAACTTAAATGCCTACAGAGCTATACTATTTTTAAGAAGCAAAGCAACTGTCAGCAAAGCAGTCATTGTTCAAGGTACCAGCTGTCAACCTACACACACGGCTTGTGTTCAGCAGCCTCACAGCACTTACTTGGAGAACCTCTCTGCAAGAGCTGATGACTTATTCTTGTTGACTAGAGAAAGCTCTTTCGCAGTGATTTTCAGAGACTGTGAAGTCCATTGTCTTCTATTAAACGGGGAAGGCTCCATCTTATCACCACAAATACCTGCTCAGGAAGAAAGTACAGTGTCAGTCAACAGGAATTATGTGAGTAGAAAAGTAGTTTCACAAAGTGATTTGATACTAAGTCACTGTTCAGGTGCTCCCAGCGTACTCGTGCCACTAAGTCCTGATCATTCAGGAACTTGTCCATCAACTGACATTAAAAAAAGATATCAGATTAAAATTGTAATTTCCTCCGCAGATGCCATTGAGATGGTGCCCTTGATAAAAACCCTAGCCACAATGGAAGGGGTGAGAGATAAGCCGTAAGCCAGAACAGGAGTAAGAAGCAAGCTGTGATTGAAGAGGATGCTAATGTGAAGCTCTGTATTTCCTATACGCGCACAGGCTCCAGGCAGCCCTAATATGCACTCTCTTGCTCTGGTTTCTAAACCAAATGTGCTGGCATTTATGTAAGAAGGCTTGAGTTATGAAACCTAAGAGGATGTAGTTCCTATGCAAACATTTTTCATTCACTCGTGGTGTTCATTCTTAACGCAGCAGCCGTTTCCTCTGTGAGCTGAAACAAGTCTTCTGTTCACGGAGGCAGCTGTAAACCTCATGTTGCAATAGCTATCAGTTACCTAAAGGAATAGTTTTAACTACCCTGTCCAGCTGTAAACGGGAAGAGATTTTTGTACAGCTTTTCACCACAGAAGCCAACAAGACTATATCAGATTTTTTTTACGTACTTAGTTTTCTTTTGTGGAGGAGGAAAGGAGGGGAGATTAATTTAAAAAGTTCTCTGATAAGACGAAAATAAAGCTTGTAGGGCAACGCCTTTCCTTTTTTCCTCTTTTCTTTTATCCCTGGTCTCATGTCACACAATGCCTGCAGCAAGTGCACTAACTGATCCTACAATGCTCACATCAGGCAGCCTGATCTCTTTCTCATATTTTCCATCAATTTCTTTAACTGATTTGCACCATTAGGTCACAGAACTCTAGAAGTCTGAGTACAGGTGTGCTTGGCCACTAGTTACGCTGTAAATGGAAGCACCTTAAGACAACTTGATATAAACAGTCAATCAAATGTAGGAAAGAAATCCTCATAGGCATATAATGCAACTGCTTAAAAATGATGAGGACTCGGGATTCTGCATCACCTCAGTCCAAAAGAATTCAGCTGCAGCAAGCGGAATCTCGCTGATTTTGTGAGTCTCAGCAATTTCCAGCACTGAAAGGGGAGCTCTGGGTCTGTGAAGTGCCAAGTTGGTGCTGGAACCAGAGGAACCTCTCTAGTGCTGCACCCTGCTGCTGCGTAGAGATAAAACAGGCAGCAGATGAACACGTTGCTGTCTTGGATATAGTCAGGAAGAACGGGACTTTCTCTAACATTCCTTAATTCACCTGATGTAATGGAGAGAATGACACACCACGCCAGTACGTGCTTTTTCAAGACAGTGATTTAGATGGTGCTTTTAGATGTACAGGTTGAACTATTGTGGCAAACAAGAAAAGTTACGCTGCTTTTGTTGTGATGTTGAAACACACTGAAACTACTTATCAATGTTACACTTCCAGTTGCAGCTTACTGCAGCTTCAGACTCGCATCTCCCAGTTAGGCAGTCTCTGAAATGCATCCATTGCCCCTTCCAACTGGCAAGAGAAGCGCGGACTGCAGAGCTACTTTCTGAAATCCATGCTTTCTTGAAAACATTTTGCATCTCCAAGTTACCCTCTTCTGTTAACCTGTCAACTTTTGTCCAGACTGGACTAAGAGAAGGATGCTGTCCGTTTGGCTGGCTTAAAATAGTTACCAGTCTTTGCCAACTGCAGAAACGATCATCCGCAAAGAAAAAGGATCTAATTAGAATACAAGAGGAGCACTCAATTTTCTCCCTTTTTAAAAAGCATATTGCACATGCAAATAAATATGCATTTCTGTGATTACAGGATGTAGTCCCCTGGTGTTGATGCCCAGTAGCAAACATTTAGCATATAGATTTAATGAAGCCACGGAATACATATGCAGAGATTATAGATAGAATTTACTCCTGAAAAATATCTCCATGTTAAAAAAGAATTCTGAATCGGCCATGTAATACTACAGTTTAAACTTTGTTTTATGATTAATCTGGAGCCAAAGGAGATCACCTGAAGCCCTGCGTTGCAGTTTAAATCGTCCTTCACAAAGCAGAGTGAGTTTTGCCCAGGAAACAGTAGCAGGACATTCATTAGAAGCCTCCCTTGGCAGAGATAACAGGCTGCTCATTGACACGCACCTTACACGGAAGGACAGTTTCAGTAAAATACTAAGAAAACAAAATCCAGTTTAATTGTGCAGAAAATAAGCCCGGTTTTGATGCCCAAGGATTCCATTGCAGCGTGCAGTGATCACTGTTCGTGGATGCATTTTCTCCCGTTGTGTTTTTGTTCCATTTCCCTACCATTTTCCCCATGAAATCCACAGGTACGGTAAGACAATCAGGCCTGTTTTGGCAAGAATCTCTTTACAAAGGCAGTAGCTACTGCTAGGATGTTCAAATGGAAAGTTAAGAAGCATATTTGGAATCTCAGTCGCTAGAAAAGACATAAAGCAGAACACTAAGATGCCCTGAAACTTGCGCTCCCACATTTTTAACGCCATTCCACATTCTTAGCACTTGCCCACACGTTTATAGCTGCATCGTGTTCAAGCGTCTCTGTACTTTTTTTGCTGCTCCTTCTGAGTAATTTATTCCAAGTCATTTCAGGAAATAGTCCTCTATTGTACGTACTAAAGTTTAAACAAGATCGTGAGCGTTCTGCATACTGCAATAGAGACGGGTTATGCTGAAGACAGCATGGAGTCCAGAGGGGACGGAGGAGGGGACGGGGAATCTGGAGTCATGCAAGATGCTGAGGAAGGGAAGGACTGTGATTTAGCCACTGTAATGCACCAAGTCTACCTCCGATAACTCCAACGAAGAGTTTAACAACAGAATAAAAATCCATACCTCTGGAAAGGTCCTGAAAGAAAACCTTTTTGTTAACACCTGCCTCAAAGTGGAACTGGTTGATTTATTACAGGTGGTTAAAGTGTCTGCAGAACGGGACATCCGCTGAAACAACTCATTAGCTAAGAGCAGCTCGGGCATCCGAGCAGGGCACAAAACTGCCAACAGCAAGAAGGGGAGAGCAGAGGTGGGCGCACACCCCTCACCTCAGGATCTTTATAACCGCCCGCACGCCCCTAAAACACCTTGTCCTGACGATAACCTACACCAAGCCGTGAGCAGCAGCAGGGTGGCAGGACCGGGCTCTTCCTGCTTCACGCACTGCTGCCGCTGCCCTCCCGCTTGAGCGGGGCACCG